AACTTTCAGAGCATGTCAATTTTCTTCTGCAATACATAAAAAGAAGAATATGTATAGTACAGCGAAATATCTGTTGAAACTGGAAAACTTATTGCCAATTTAGTTCAAACTAAATATGCAGTAAATGTTACTATGCGAAACTTGTTCATCTCTAGAATTATATACAAAAACTTTTCAAGTCTGAAACTGAGAGCAGAACTTTTCTGTGAAGAGAACTCTGAACGTCAGATTTCTTCATGCGTATGGTTGAACTTAAATATTTACTATAATATTCTTTATAATATTAATTAGTTTTCATTTTATTTGTAGTTTTAATTATATGTTTCATTTGTGCATCAAGCATTTTCTCATTAACACATAACGGTAAGATTAAGAAGATTATTTTTCTTGTTTCTATAACTGAATGTATTTTGATATATATAATATAATAATATAAATTTGGTATGTACCATGAACTACTCAATACCATTTTCGTTAAATAATTTTATTAAATAGTTTTAATATATTATTTTACATGAACTTATCCCTGAAATGCTTTCACACGAATTTTTGAAACGAAAATGGTTTCAATAGAAATTTTGATACATGATTTGATAAAAGGTCGGAGCATTTATAATAATAAAAACCTATCCGGAATACAATAAAGTTTATATAAGTATTTAATAGGTAAATTAATGTCTGCACTTGAAATTGTGTACAATTTACGAATCTGAACACAAGTTTTTATTCTAATTTTGATTGCTGTAAAATCCGAAGTGCTCTTTACACCTCCAATCATTCGGATGCAAAATTCATTCAGATTCATTGAGATACAAAGACAACCCTACAGTTTCTTATTAACATTTATATTAAATATTCTTGAAGAAAATTGTTTTAGTGTACGAATCGAACAATAACACAGTACAGAGATTATCCAATGCAAATCGTGTTTGTAATGAGTCGCTGATTATTCCGATAATATGAATATTCATTAAGATCGGAAACCAGCACCTGGCACGTGAACAAGGTGCGATTGTCGAGCTTCTGACTGTGGGAAAACAGACAACTGTGGAAAGTCTACAGTTCCACTTGTTTTTATAATATCATAGATATAACTTGTTTATTTATTTGCACTAGTTGAACAATGCACATATTTAATTACATTTTTAAAGCAATTAATGACCTTCAGTTATAATTACTAAATTGCTGTGCAAAATTTTGTTTTTTAGATACATTAATAGATATGTGTGTATTATTACACAGGTTTTGGTTATTGTAATTAATGTTGGAATTATCATTATGCCTTTGAGCGTCAAACCATTTCTGCATTATGTATCCAGCTTTTGGTAACGTGCACATTTTGGACATTGACTATTTGCCACAAATAGTTAATTAGTGTGTTGCTCGTATTAGTGATATTTCAAACCGTATTATTATGTAATTTTCCATTGCGTTACATGTTCGGCGTTTCGAAGCTTGTATTTATTGGATGCATCAGTACTTCTGCCTAATTGTATTATTTGTCATGTTGATTTTTGGATAATTACACACTGGCCATTTATATTTATCTCGCTGACAATTTGGTTGTGATTTTATTATATGATTATTTGATATTTAGTTACATCGTTTGTTACGTCTCTTGCTATGTAGTATTTATAAATACTGTACTAATATATGCAGTAAAATATAGTTTAGAGCAATAAAGTTAATTTTATTTTATTGCGTTTATTTTTTAGACGTAATTGTTCGTCTTTGCTACTTAAGAGCATTTATCAGTTTAATATTTATTTGATTTTTTTCTAAAATTTAAATGTAGCGTTTACGAGAAAAGGCTATTCTCTTCAGCGTACCGTATATAAATTAATGTAAATCATTTTTTTTTTTAAATAGTTCGGTTTAAGTTATTTTAATTATTGATGATTCAACTCCCAAATGATTTTTAAATATTTGATAAAATTATTCATTCATCACATAAACCCATACATTACGTCACATGTTAGCAATTTGCCTCGATAAAAACACATGATTGAGTTAATCATGCTACATTAATTTTTAGTGCTGATCTTTCTGTATAATGATAAACTTCTATAGACTTGAGTAATGTTGAATCATTACATATTGTTTTTCTAGAATTATTGCAAGTCATTTGCAATGATTTGTTAAACGTCTAATCTGAAAGGGTTGATGAATAAGGATTCTTTTCGATAAAATAAAAGATGAATTTTTGATTATGAATGATTATTTTGAATGGAAGATGATGAGTTGATATTTTCGAAAATTAAGAAGACTTTAGATTAAAACGTTTTAGGAAATGAATTGAGTTTAGAACGATTTTGAATCAAAAACTTCGAAAAAATATAAGTTGGAAATAGTTGCTTCGTAATCAATTGTACCAATTTTTTTTAGCGATTTGAATCCTGAATTCGCTGAAAATTGTAAAATATTACAGGCGTACGAAAATTGGTTTACAGAAATTCATTAAATTTTCATCTTCATTTTTTGGTCCGGATAAACGAATTTTAGTATAGTACTGTATTAAATAATATTTACACATTTCGGGAATTTGGGCAACTATCCTTTAGACATAATGCTAATTACATCTACTTAATATAGTGAATAATATATTTTGCAGTTCAAATAAACAGAATGCATTTTTTTTAATTCAGTAAAATATACGTCGCGTAAAAAACATTCTGTAAATTTATTCTAATCTGTTATGTACCAGTTTTTTCTTTTCAATTCAATAGTCCATTATTCACTCACAGCAGCTCAAAAGCTTATTGTTCAAAAAGCGTTTAAAGTTTTGCAAAAGCGTTCATTCTCAATTAATGATATGCGAATTTATTCATTAAATTAATTAATGAAATTGATACAACGCATCTAGTTCAAATTCGTTGATGTTTAAATTATTTAAACGCCAGTGAACAGTATGAAACAGGTCGGCTGAGTTCAAAGCTAGGTTGAAATTAAAAATGCATTACTATATATATATATATATATATATATATATATATACATATATATATATATATATATATATATATATATATATATATATATATATATATATATATATATGTTTCAAGTGATAACACTGTTTGTGATTTATATATGACAAAAAATAGGTTGTATATGCACCATATAATATTTGGTCATTGTATTATAATAATTAATAAATATTAATGTGTGTGACTGAAATTTACATAACTGTAAATGATTAGAATGCGATTGCAATATAAACTGCGCCTTTTTTTTCTTCTTACTAAATTCATTTTTTATTTAGATTACGGAATCAATATGAGCTGCACAAACTCATCATGTAAATGACTATAATTATCGTTCATAATAATCCATTCTGACCATAGTTCTATTTTTCAATTTTCACATATTATAATTTACATGTATGAAATTAGTTTTCACCTATTTGATTAGTATTTGCGCTCTCAAAATAGCATCATTTCACTCGTCTGGTAAGGGCTTAGGCTGGACAGAATAGCCTACCTTGCCCTTACATACCTTTTTTTTTAAATAATTGACAATCCCATATAGAGAAGTTACAAGTTTATTTTAATGCTTATTATACATCTTGATCATAAAAGTGAACCTTATTTTCGGCTCGTCTGCAGGTACTTATACAGGTTAAAATGCTCTGGGAATTTGATTTTTGAACATCTCAATAAATAAATGAAATTGTATACAAATGTGAAGCTTACAGGAGCAAGTTTAATTTTCGAGTTTTTTTTTATTTTCTAAGTCCTGGGCGACTATGATGTGCAGGACTGAAACTTGCCAGACGATCGTTTTCGTAATTAGCACGCTAAGAATCACCAGTACAAAAAATTTTAGCCTTACAGGAACACTATTATTTAAAAGGTTCAGTAGCCTATTAATATCTTTTAATAAGTTTTTATATTCACAATAGGTATTGAAAAATGTGATCAACATCTAAGAAAATGATTAATTACTTTGGTTCAAGTAAAAAAATTGACGAGATTTATGAAAAATACTAGCTGTAAGTGGAATTCTGGCTTAAGGCAATTAGGGCCTCGTGCCTTAGGACAAATTGCTGGAAGTTCCCGTACCGCAATTCAAAATTCGAGTAATTAAAAATAATCAATAATAATAATCAAAGTTGATCAATGATTTGAAACTTTTAATAGAATTTCGAACCATATTAAATCATGCTATCTTAAATCATTTATTTTGAAATATTTTGGAAATTCTGAACTTTTTTTCAAAGCAATCGTACTGCTTTAACTGCATAAAGACGAAATATCAAAGCGCGTAAGGGCCGCGTCGCCTTTTAAAAACTGAGTTACCGTTTTCGGCACTTTTTGCCCCGTATCTTTGGAACGGCTACACATGCCTTCGCCAAAAACTAATCAGCACGTCTCCTTATCAATACGAATCGAATGTTTTTTGAATTATTCAAATCGGTTGATCCGTGTTCACGAAATCGTCGACGAAAATTTGTATCCGAACACACATATATACACGCACACACATACATCCATCTTTTCTAAGGTATTCCAAAATGTTCAGAAGGTTTTGAAACGTAAAGATCTATAAAAAATTTCATTTTCGATTTTTTTGCGATTACTATAATACTGTAGGCCACACTGTTCGGATTTCGAAGTTGCGATATATGGGAAAAAAACTAAGAATTTTGAGACCTTTCTAACGATGTATAATACTTTATATGTTTTCTTTACAGAAATATCGAATCATGAGGAGTGTTGCTCTAACCTAACCGCACTTTGCATTTCAACATGTTAACAACTACACATATTGTTCTATAACATCTAAACCGTGAAAGATATAAAAAAAACTTTGTTTGTGCGAAAGATGCAGAATAAAATTATGAATAAAATGGTATATAAATGGTTAAGTGTGTTCATATAATTTTCTCGAGATTTTCCGATTTTCCTGAAATTTTACGCCGTACGGGAAGTTAATAATTCTTCTTATGAATAGTAGTTGCTTTTCCGTATGAAATGAAATGTATATTCATCCCATTTCAGATGAATGGTGACGATCCTGCGTCATGGACAATCCAAGAAGTCGTTCTCGAGCGCGGCGACACCGGCCTCGGTTTCAGCATCGCGGGCGGCACGGACAATCCGCACGTGGAACGCGACACCTCGATCTATGTCACGAAACTGATCCCTGGTGGAGCGGCCTGCGCGGACGGACGGCTGGCGGTCGACGACTGCATATTGCGCGTCAACGATTGCGACGTGCAGGGCGTACCGCATTCGGAAGCGGTCGAAGCGCTCAAGAGAGCTGGAAACACAGTCAAACTGGTGGGTAAAGGATGATTATAATGTATTTTACTGGGCAGAGAAAGAAAAGTCGAATAATCAACCAGCGGTGCGCTGTCACATGTTTTTCGAATATTAACTAACTTTTCGACAACTGCTTCGAACAATCAGTCATATCGTACGTATTCGATATAAAAATTTGGGATATAATAAATTCTTTACATTTTCATATACTTAAGTGTGTTTATAAGCACAAACTGTGCCCGTAATTTCATGCTTTGTAATATTTTTACATAATATCTATTCATTAAGGGGGTTGTTTTTTTTTGTAACAAAAAATGCAAAATATTTGTTTTTGTTTTTCTCGAAATGTATTTATCATAGATACATGCGTTTTTTTTAAACAAAAATTACAAAGTCATAGAATATTACGTGATTTTCTTCTTTTTTTGCGCCGTCATTTTTTAATCAGGGGGCGCCAAAGTCGGTCTTGCAAAATCGATCTCGTTTGTGGTGCCACAGATAAATCTGTTGCGCATTGCCCGAAACAAAAAAAAAGAAACTACGTTGAAGAAGAAGTTTAAATCCAGTCCCCCTACCAAAATGAAAGAAAAAAAGCAAGAAGGAAAAAAATGGCAGCTATTTAAAAAAAAAGTGTCAAAAAAGGCTTTTTTTGGGGCGAGAAGCTTCGCAAAATTTTTTTGCGTAATGTTATCAAGTTGTTTGAGGTAGGGGGATTAGGTATTGCAGTGGTAAACAAATTAAAAAAAAATGCAAGTCGATCCGACTTGTAGTTTTTTTTTTAATTTGTGGCACCGCATTGAAAAAAGTCAATTTGAGAAAAACGTATTTAAAGTTTTTAATATAATGTACTAAATACACCATTTAATTTAATGTACTAAATACACCATGGTGTTCGAAGATGCTGACACATTAAAAAGGTCATGTGCATGAGGTATTATAATGAAAAAGGGGCAGCTGGCATATAATAGCTCGCGGAGCGATGAAAAAACGCTTTCAGAGGATCATACATATAGAGATAAATATATCTATAACTTCGTCAAAAAAATAGATATTGAGATGATTTTTTTTTAAATAATTCTAAGGTTTTTAGCTTTCATAATATCAAAAAATCTCAAAATCGAAACAAAGAAAAATAATAGGCCAGAATACCCCCTTAATTTACAAAGTTTTTTACTGCGTGTTTCGTATTGTACTGAAAACATTATTTTAAGTATATATGTAATAAAGTCTGTAAACTAGATTGGAATGATGACCGAATGCATGTTAAATATTATGTTTGATTTAAAAGTTGTGGAAAGATTTTAAGTATAAAATATATTAATAATAAAAGAGAAGCATTTCTTGAAAGTTTTTGAAATTAGCAATATAAAATAGTATTTCAAACGGGCCAAAATTCATTAAAGTACATTTTTATATTATCATCATCATATTATCGTCAATGATTAATTGATTATTATAGAATAATCGATAGAAGAGCGTTTTATATTAAATTCCTCCTGATAGTAATTTAGTTAGTTTATTTGCTATTATAGATGTGCATACATTTGTAATTGAACCATATATAATGAGTGACCTCATTGATCATGGTATTTAATGTACGTTATAATTAAATCAATGATAATATTGCGTAATGAATATAATATTATCGTTCTCTGCAGACAAACTATGATATGCGCTTATTATGTAACATTATTAAATTTTCCAAATATCGTCGTTGTTAACTTACCCTGATAGGTTTTTAACTAAATTATCTAATAAAGTTACCATGGTCCATATGAAATATTTTCCGATATAATCATGACGATTAACGTGCTAAAATTGTTTTGTTGTACTGAGGTATTTGATTAATATTTTTGTCAATTTTTAACTATGTAACATTTTTCAGTTGATAAAACGACGCCGTCCTGCCGGTCCTCGCCTTATGGAATTGGAATTGGTAAAAGGTGATAAGGGACTTGGTTTTAGTATTGCTGGTGGTATTGGCAATCAACACATACCTGGAGATAATGGTATGTAAATATGTAATATCAGTTAAGTAGTATTAATGAAGGATTACACATTTTCTTTGCCGCATTATTTTCAATAATTAAGAAAATAATTAGGTAATGACTAACTGATAGTCACTAATAAGCTTGGGCAAGCATATTGAGTAAAATACAAGCATTACGCTTATATAACGATTAAAATATGGCAAACTGGCTTCTTATATGAATAAACTGTGTTTAATCAAATTTCACGACCGCTTTAAAAGTGACTGTAATTTCTGTACTGTGCTTGAAGTTTTACCGTCTGCAAACGTGTTAATTGATTTTGAATTTAATTAATTATTCATTGTTAATAAATACAAACAAAACAAATAATCGTTTTATTAAATAAATAATTTGACTCGTCATTAAAAAACACTTTTAGGACATTTAATTTTAAATTAATTACGTGCCGTGCACAATAGCACGTTATTTGCTGAAATAAAATTTATAGCACAGCTATGTATTATATTTCAGTATGATTGAATGCTTTGTTAATTTATAATTTGACAATTTATGTATTATCTATTAATCGAAACGTTTGTTAAAGGCTATTAAAACCACTACTACAAACTATTGGTTAAATGTTTGTATTAATATAGAATTTTATAATCTATTACAAAAAATAAATGCTATATATAGACCTACCGGAAATTTTTGTCCGAATTTATGACATTATTTTTTCCACGTTTATTGCATGTTTGGCTCTATATTTTCGTCCCTTAATGTACACATATTGACATAGTAAATAAACTATAATAAAGTTCATCTGGTGCATGAAGCAACGGAGCAACGAGTGAAATGAGGTGCTTTTCTAATTTGTGATGACAGTTGATTTTATTATGTCTTTAATAGAAAGCACCTTCAGATCATCACAAAATTATGTGACCAGCAACAAGTTCAAAAATGAAGATGTTCAAAAACAAGGACTGGTTCAAGTTTTTTTGTATCAAAGATAAAACATTTTTCAAAAATGATGGGATGTACAAATTGCCCTCACTCTGTAAAGAGATGATTATCAATAATTACAATTATAATATTATATAATACAAACCGCATGGAGTCCTAAGCAACTACTAGTAGTGTTATGATCTACTAAGTAATACTAATATTATGATCTACTAAGTAATAGTAATATTATGATCTACTAAGTACTAGTAATATTATGATCTACTAGGACTAGTAATATTATGTTAAATTGCAGGAATTTACGTTACGAAAATTATGGAAGGCGGCGCAGCACATGCCGATGGCCGCCTGGCGGTCGGTGACAAGTTAGTGGCGGTGCGAAACACGGCGCAGGGCGAACGAGATCTTCAAAACGTGACACACGAAGAAGCGGTTGCGACGCTTAAAGCAACTACGGATAGAGTTGTGCTGCTCATTGGAAAAACCGAACACCGACCTGGTCAGTTGTAATACTGATTAGAATTATATTACTTTTTTGAATTTTTCATCTGCCTTTCAATTGTCTCATTTTATAAATTGATTTGGAACTTTGACATTCACCCGTTATTACTTAAAATGAGGTATAGTGATTGATTTATTTTCATTTGATTTTCATTAATCATTTTAGATTGTGTGACCGACAGCGCACCGTTGCGGGCTTCTACAGCAAATTTACATCATTCACAAACTTTACCAAGACCTCTTACACCGAGAGCTGTAAGCCAGGAAGATATCTCGAGGTATTTAATTCATTTTACATGTGGTTTTTAACTTAACAAGTTAATTTATTTTGCTTGTGTATATAATTCTATGATATAAAATGGTCAGGCACGTGATTGGTTAGAGCTATGGGATTTCAATGTCGATATTTGTCTCGAGCTACTTGATGTCAAATAGTAGTGGCATCGGTTTTACTTGGAAATATGGATAGCAGTATGTTTCCAAGTAAAAAGAGCCCTAACCAGGCTTTGCTGTATTAATTCAAAATTTATTACTATTACAGAAATTGTAATATATAATAAAGTTCATCACATAAATACGAGAGACAACTGTTTTGGTTGCCACCAATACACCATACACCATAAAAACCGACTTAGTTAGTTGAGTAAATCACCAAAACAGCTCATAGAACTATAAGTTTTGATCTTGGTCCAAATAATACTATAATAATAGTATAATGAAATAGTACACTTTTCATCTACAGTTTGATAATTTTTATTGAAATCAATTATTTGAAATCATGAGACTTGCAAAATATCTCAGGATTCTATTCTTTCTCTAATTCAAATAATAATAAAATAATTATAATTGAATAGAATAGAAACAAAACTTTATGGCCTACAAATATTCATTCTGCTATGGCACACATGAAACCTATTTATATTAATTTTTCTAATTGATTCTATATTCTTTTGTCAATGCCGAATAATCGAATACTAATTAGTAATTATTACTGCACTATCAGCATTGTATTTATTATTGCATTGTTAAACAAAACAAGTTTTAAGATTTATTTTATATTTCTAGGGAGCCCCGCACGATTGTTATTAACAAGGGTAATAGTGGCTTAGGTTTTAATATCGTGGGCGGTGAAGATGGTGAAGGCATTTTTGTATCATTTATTTTGGCCGGTGGACCTGCGGATGCTGGAGGTGAGTTGCGTCGTGGCGACCAGATCATCAGCGTTAACGGAGTTGATCTGCGCAATGCAACGCACGAGGAGGCTGCACAAACATTGAAGGTAGGAAAATTTATCGAAATGTAATAATTTGCAAAACGAAATCATGCATTTAATAATAAGAGGCAAGTTTTGATTTGCAACCGAAAATTTTAAATTGATTGGTATATAGAAATTACAACACGATAGTTACTAGGGTTTGTCGGTTTTCAAAAACCGGTTTTAAAAACCGTTTTATGGGATTCGAAAACCGGTCTTTTAGTGAAAAAAGTCGGTTTTCACTGTTTAAATGGAAAATGACAAATATAGCCAAATATAAAAGATAGATGAAAGCGTTTTGATTCTTGAAATCATATCGGTTCAATAGCATTTGATATCTTATCAGTCTGCAATGGTTCCCGAAAGGTTTTGTATATATTAAAGTAGATTTTTATACCAGTGTATATACTAATTTAAATCAGTGTGACTTCTTCTTGGAGAATTAACTTTCTCTACTCAAACTTAAAAAAAAGTTTTAAGCCCTAAAAGCAACAAATTAAATAACAAAAAACTTAGAATTATTATATCAGGCTTTAAAAACAATTAAGCATAATTTGGTCGCAAGTAAGAGAGTATTTTCGATTTCAGGAAATTTTGTGAGTAAACAAAGGACACATCTAAGTAGCAATTCGATAGACGTTCTCAGTTTTTTCAAATCATATTTTATTAAACAGAAAAACAATTAGAATGTTTAAAATTAATTAGTTAAAATTGCTGGAAACAGACAATACCTGAGTTTAGCTTAATTGTTTTTAAAATGTATCTAATATTTTTTTTATTTTTTTTTTAATTTAATGAAATTTTGTTATTTATTAATGTCTTATTTTTATTTATTGCAAAACTTTCCTTTCACTATGATAAAACTATTTTCATTCTTATATGTGAAAATGATGCATGAATAACAAATGATTATTCTTCTATAAGTTATTTAATCAAGATAAACTATTTTTTTTTAGTTTTACTAATTAAAATTAAAATATTTTTTTCTACTATCCATAAAATTGAACAATAAATAAATTCAGTCAAATACTGCTCTAAATTACACTAGATTTGCGAATAAATTACAGAATATTCGAGCAAAAATTTATTTTCTATAAAAAAAATTGAAAACCGGTTAAAACCGGTTTTTTAGTACAATTCAAATTCGAAAACCGGTTTTCTGAAATGTCGGTTTTTGTATAAACCCTAGTAGTTACGTTCCAGAAAACGAATCCGTGTTATAAGGGACAAAGAACTAGTACAAAAATAGGGGTTGCGTTCCAAGATTTCAAAAAAACATGCTACATATCACGATATTATAATAAATATTGTTACATTTATTCTTTTTTTTAAGAAGTAATACAAATTACTTGAATTATATGATTTCTTTCGTCATAATTAACAAGTAAGTACTATCCAACATGATCTTTTTTCTGCAAGATATCCTCATCCTCTGAGCAGTTTTCTATACTACCTCCAAACCCGTGCATTATTTTTGATATAACCATAAAATTAATCATGAATAACTTTGCAGAGTACCGGACAGACAGTGACAATAATAGCACAGTATCGTCCGGATGATTACAACCGCTTTGAGGCCAAAATAACCGATCTAAAGCAAAAACTCAGCACATCGGGCGGCACATTGCTGCGCACTTCGCAAAAACGCACTTTGTTCGTGCGCGCGTTATTCGATTACGACCCGAACCGCGATGACGGTCTTCCGTCCCGCGGACTGCCATTCCGCCACGGCGATATTTTACACGTGACGAACGCCAGCGACGACGAATGGTGGCAGGCTCGCCGGGTACCTCCTCCAGGAGGTGCTGATGAAGGTACGGTTGGCATAGTTCCTTCTCGCAAACGTTGGGAGAGGAAACAGAAGGCCAGAGATCGCAGCGTCAAGTTCCAGGGACAACAGCCTGGACAAGTTGGGGATAAGCAAAGCACGCTCGATAGGAAGAAGAAAAATAACTTTGCATTCAGCAGAAAGTTTCCATTTATGAAGTCTAAAGATGATAAGAGCGAGGATGGATCTGATCAGGAACGTGAGTATTATGTGCTTTTTGAGTTATTTGTATTAAACATACTTCATGAAATTCTTTCTGTTCGTCAAACTTATTTGCCTGCCACAAAATGGTTTAATATATTTCGAAATTTATTAAATTTAATAGTTTAATATTTGAAATTGGGGATTTTAACATGTAATTTTAATGTGTACAGCTTTTTCTTACTTTATCTGTACTGTTAAATTAAAATAGTTTTGCAGAATAGGTATTGAATTTATCTGACTTAAGGGGGTATTCTACTGTAGAATTTTGAAAAAATCAAAAAATTTGTTTTCATATTTTCAAAGTTTAGTTATTCAAAAATATATCATTAAAAGGATTTTTCAAAATTACTATTATTTCCTGAGTTATAGCCGTTTTAGTGACGTGGCCTCGGTTCGGGTCCGACCGAGTCTCAAAACTTGGAACGCGTTTTTCTCGGAACTACTTTTTTCGAGCTGGCGGTAAGGATATCTCGAGTTCTAATTAACCGATTTACTCCAAATTTGGAGAGGATCTTCTATATACATCGCTTTATCGCATGGATCTTTCCCAAAACTATAACTTTTCATTTAGTATTTTAAAAAAATTCGGAATAGTTAAAAAAAAAATATGAAAAAAAATTTTTTTCAAACAAAAGTTTTTTTAACTTATCCAAAGTTCATACGATAGCGGCATCTATAATAATTAAGAATTCATCTATTTTTTATGTTTCGGATCACCAGGAGGGTTGGAATCATGCACGCCAGGACACCCTCTTTTTTTTTTGAGCCCCCACTTTGACTGCTCATAACTTTGTGAATTCGAATTTTTTTTTAATATTTTTTTATGTAATAATAAAATATCAATTAACAAATGATAAAAAAATCGATAGTAAAAATATTATTTGTTTCCTTTATACAGCGCTTCAAAAACCGGGCAAAATTCATGTTTCTACAGTAGAATGCCCCCTTAAAAATTTAATTTAAACCAGAAATTTCATAATTAGGGTTTTCTTTATTTTTCACTAACTTTTCATTAACTTTGCTCTGAACTTTCACTTTTTCTTACATCTTGCTAGCAGTTCATCTTCAGCAACAATAATTATTATATACCCTCCAAAAATTTTTGATGAATTTGCTGAAGTTCTATGTGTGATACATACTTTATGGTAACAGCATAACTCTGATGAAGTAGACATATGTTTTTTTTGTTTCTTGGTCTTTATTTTTTTAGCAAATTGTTTGCTATTTATTATTAAAATATTTTTTAGTGTTTTTGGTATTTAATTGACATTTAATGTCATGATTAATATTGCTCTGATGTTATTTGATCTGAGTTTGTTTTTTCTTTAATTAACATTTATTGAAAGTTATTATTAATTTTGTTTATTGCACTATTTTGTTACTTGTTTTGGTTTTGTTTATTTTTATTTATTACATTACAGCCCCTAATCAACATGGTGTCGAATCTAATGATAATGAATCTCATAGTAAGTATTATTATTTATGAATGTGTTCAAAGCAGTGGCCAAAAATGCTATGTAAAATCGCATTATAAAAAAGATATATGCATATCATGATTATATAAAAATTTAATTAATTAATTTGCATGCAAACTGTTTACCATTGACATTACTTGGCCACTTCTTTGCATAGAATTATTATGTTTTTTTTTCTTTAATTATCTTCATTTTATAATAATTGTCTTCATTAAAATTTTTTGTTTGTTACTTACTTTAATACATTCATACAACTTACTATCAATGAAACGACTCCGAATAAAATTCATTTCAATTTACAAGATTTTTTGCATATATTATTTTTTAAATAACGTAAATATCTTTTAGTTTATAAATTATTTAGTTCCAATATTTTTATCAATCGGATTAAAAAAATTATTTATTTAAAAAAGTTAAATTTTTTGCAACATGCAATATTATAATATTCATATATTTTATATTATAATTGCACTAATATTCTTACAAATTAATAAAATAAACAATACTAACTTTTTCATAATACTTGAGGAAATGAGCATGTGCCCTGATCCTTACAAGTATTCAAATTATATCTTATATACTTGTAATCATTCCTCTGTTTGACCCCAAATTTTCTTTTTTAGCATTTATGTTGTGCTACACTCAAGATGAAGCAAATCCCGATGGTAAGTCATGTGCATTTTGAATTTTTAGAAAAAATATTTTTTAATGGAATTGATTTTATGTACTGTTACCTTTATGTAGAAATAAATTAACGGATACCTATATAATAATCGTTGAATGTGGGGCGTGCGTGATCTGTTCTTTTATTTCATAATATAAGGAAAATGTGTGCTGTCTGTGTGTCTGTTGTAGAAATTAATATCTAATTTTTCTGCGGGATAGTTCAATCAGAAAGTTCTTCGATACTACAAACTATATAGCTACATTATATATTTTAATTATATTGGTAGTATCGTTATTTAAAACTTCAGGATTCTTTATAATTGAGCGCATCGAATAGTTGTCATGTATTAATAAATAAATGTTTTATTTTATATAAAATATTTTATGCGTTTATGTAGCATCTTTGTATGCATTTTAAATGTTCGCAAGATTAAAACGCAGCTTTTGAGGTGTGATGGTAATTATTATTTTTATTGCAATATATTACTTCATTGCTCAATCACTCTGTAGTCTCAAAAAACTAGATTGTATAATAATTGACAAAACTAGAGGAATCGAATAGCGAGAAAAATGATTCACTTAATAAAACAGTCTGTGAGAAACTTTAACAATATTAAATTGCGCAAAAAATAATCTGTTTATTTTTTTATTTGTACGACTGTTCGTTTTCATTTCAGAAATTAATATTATCATAATGATTTATTGATTACACTGAAATTATTCTAATTTATTGACAACTTCAATAATTTACATTGACTTATTGATTGCTATTTATTATAAATGATTCCTTAAAATATAGTGAAATTATTTTTAGTCAAACGTTTTACATATCATTTTTTTTTTTAAATTAAATTAGCATTAAGTAATATTTTCAATTATTAGTAGATCTAAAAAATGTAAAGATAATAAATGATCGATTCAGAATTGGTTATACTACTATTCCTTCTTCTTGTTTTGGTACTTGGAAATCAAGGAATGTGGTTGAGTACTTTACCAATTTATATGATTTGACATATAAATAGTTCACAAGATATTCATAATATGATTTTTTCTATCAAAAATTTTATTTATTACATTAGAATTTACTACAGCGATTGAGCTATGAATTTTTGCAACTATTTGGTGCTGTTGTTTGACTAAGTGACGGTTCGTGGTTCGTTTTTCAAACATATTTCCTAACTTTATTATTTATGTTAGGCTTGAAATATGAGGCTTATATTAGATATATAAACATATTTTTACAGATTATGCCAATTAGATTAGTAATAATTTAGTATAATATAGTACACGCAGGAAGAAATGTGATATCTGCTAAAATTTAGTAAAATAGTTTGGATGACATTGTAATGTGTTTTTAATAAGATCTCATTTTTAAGTATTGCATATGAATATTAAATTATTGAATTGGATCATATTAGATTTATAACTGCTTAGAGGTAGGCGATGAAGAAATAGTTTATTCAGTTGGCTAATATATCGTATGCAAAATTTATTATACAAATATTTTCAAACTTAAAAAATAGTCAATTTTTCAAATTACAAATGTTAACATTTAATGATCGAACTTTGAAATATTCATATTGTTTTAGTTTCTGCACTATTTATACATTAATCCGCTGAATTTGAATTTACAAATGTTTTTAAAAAGAATCAATAAATTGTGAATTACAAATTTAAAACATTGGATATTTTGAATATGTCTCATCTGAAAGTTTATTGTTGGCTTTGCATTACTAGTAAAAATGATTATTTTTAAATTCAACTTCAGCTTCGTAAATATGCTGTTAGTGCATATTTCTTAAAATTTTGACTGTAAGAAACCGTCTGTTCGGTTTCTGTTCAAAAAATGTGTAAAATAACTATATATTTTCATATTTTGCTGCTAAATTCTAATCGTGCATGTATGAATTTAATTGCATCGCAAATTTGTGTGTGCGCAAATCTAAAACTATAAATGCAACACTACAAAAATATTATCGATATTATATGAAATTTTAAAATATATAATTCAATTTGTAACGATTATATACATGCATATCTATCGAGTCAGCAATGTTATAGTAGCTTTTTTTAAATAATTTATTTATCAAATCATTTATTCGGTTCATTTAGCTGGACATCAATTACGGCATTTCGTGCGTATTTTAAAGTGTTTCTTATTAAGTTTTAAAACTGTAAACGATCATTCAGGTTCTTGTAGATATTTTATTTTTAATATTATTAGAAATAGTAACAACCGAGTTCCTATAGAGCTTATAATGTGAGAAACTAAGGTTGGTTATGCAATTTGAGCAAGTTTTTCAAACATGTTTGTTATTTTTGACAAATGGTTCAAATTAACTATATTATTATACAAGGTTTTATTAAAATCGTCAAAAAAACAATGGCAATCAGTTACGATAAACAACGCTTTGCCAAAAGCTAATCGGCACAATTTCCAAATGATATCTTTTGAATAAAGTCTTTAAAATAGGTTGAGAATTTATACGAAAACACTGACAAAAAATCTTGCAAATCGGATTTTCTCGTGAAAAACTTTTGCTTCGGAAGTTAATAATTGGGTAGTCTGTTTGCTAACAGCAATTATAGCACGGTTGAAACAGCAATAAATTTTCGATGATGATGGGGAAAATACTGCCTCCAAAAGTTGGCATTTTAACATTAGTGCTGTCAGTGCTGAAAAATTGTGTAGTTCCACCATTCTCTCAAAAACATGCAAAGCGTAGATTTATTTAGGAGATAAGCAGCCAGGATTGCAAATTTATAACAAAACTATATTTTTAGTTAGAAAGTAGTACCCCGTATATGGGGTATAAATGACCAATTGAAAGCTTCTTTGAAAAATGGCAAAATAACATATTTCTACAATGATGAACATATTCAGATAGTTGTTTGTTTGATATGTGGTATTTGTAGTGATGTAATTAATTTATTTATTCATTTTTTCATAAGCAAGCCGTAATCAATAATAATAGATAATATTTCAGGCTCTTGTCAAGCTTATTCATAATTTTTATTAAAAGGACAGTAATTTTATAATAATCATAGAATTACACTTCTGAAAAAAAAGAGCTGAAAAAAAGCATTCGAACATTAAATACAATGTTCATCATCAAGTTTATCATATTAAAGTCTATTTGACCACGAGTCAAGCTCAAAATTCTTGCAAAAAGTTGAAAGTTATACTCATTTAAAACCGTAAAAATTTTAATTAACAAAATAGCAATAAAAAAAACATGGTTGTACAGGCGATCAATTGTTCAGACTACATAGATAAAGGATAACGATTATGCAAGAAAATAGTTATTGAAATCAAATTGAGAAAATTCAGTAATGTCATAAAAAGCTAATTCTTTAAAAAGTTTAACTAGTGAAGCATGAATTTTTTTACTGTCTAAGTTTCGGATATTGAGTGGAAGTTTATTCATAAGCTGAAAACCTAAACCGTCGATCGTATTGAAAGAGCTGCCCTAATTTATATGTGCGCGCCTTAACAAGTTTGTGTCTAGTGTTGTAGTTTGAGGAGGACGAAGTCATATCAAAAAGTTTCGAATTGTTTTTGATGAAAGATAATGTTACCAGCAGAAAAATGCACGGGACCGTTAGAATATTGTGTTTTTTAAATATGGGTCTGCAGGAGGATTTACTGGACAAGGAAAAAATTACTCGAATAGCTCTTTTCTGAAGCTTAAATATTTTAATTAGTTCGGATAAAAAAAAACAGAATTGGATGCCGTAGGAAACGCGAGAATAAAAGTTGCTATAATAAACTGAAAGTAAGCAATTTAAACCGAGTTTGGGTTTTAGGGTTCGCAACATGAAACATATTTTAGATAAAGTTGGTGATAGTGAGATATAAATATGATCAGACCACTTTAAATTATTATTAATGTGAATACCAAGAAACTTTGATACTTGCGAAAAATCATATGCTGAATTATTGATGGTGTAAGAAGTAATATTATGGGATAAACGATTTTTTGTACAAAAAGATATGATTTGGGTCTTATCATTATTTAGGACTAGATTATTTTCACAAAACCATTTCGTTAATTGATTTTATTTTCGTAATAAATTTTGCTCAAAGTCAGATTGGCCCTTTGGACCCCGCCCTACTCTCTCTCTCTATATATATATAAATTTCATTGTGTATTTATATTATATTCAGTTTCTCAAAGAACTTTGTATTCTTGAAATGCTTTATATATCAAGTATCTCTTGCTGCGCACGAAATGCCGTCCGTATGTTGATGTCACAAACGGCGTGTGAGTCGTTTCCTTTTAGTTTTCCTTTATCTTTTTCACATTTTATCTTTTATCTTTTTATCTTTTATCTCTCCTTCTGACGCACTTGATCTCCCCAGGCACCGGGGAGATCGTGTATCGCATAGAGCTTCCCGATATGCATCAGATCGAGTTGATTTATCTCGAAAACACGGAAAGCAGTGACAGTAAGTCCGGCTAAAAAGATCGTTGTCTCTTGTCGCTAGGACCGAACCGCACTTGATTTTGTATCAACTAATTTTTAAATTTTTATTTTTTATTTCCTCTCGATATTGTTGATTCGAGATTAGTCACCAGTTTATTTTTCATCGCAATGCATATTATATTAGTGCTCTTAAATATTTAAAACATCTTTTTTTTCATTATTTTGTCGTATTGGAAAAATATAGTAAACTCACTGTGTCTTGTCTGAGAATTTTTAGTTTTCGTAAGGATACGTTCATACGGCGACACTACCATATGGCGACAAGTGCAGATTCAAATTTTGAATATTTAACCGAAAATATTATTATAATTGTAAAACTATAACTATATATAGATTTGATAAAAAAAACTGTTCAAATGAAAGTTATCGCAAACTCGAGAATACTTTACCCAGTTAACTGTGATTGACGAGCACCTATAGTAATCGTCATGAAGTAATGTTGGATATTTAAATTGTGATTTTTGAAAAAAATAAAATCTTGAATTTCAATATGTTCAGAATATTCCGGTAAAATAAGTAGTTCTGAGTGGCTTTTTACTTCAAGGCCAGTTTCAAGATCGTTCTGATATGTGCAAATAATCGACTTCATCAAGAAGAATTAAAATTTAGCTATTCAAATTCATCTTTTCTTTTTGAAAATTTCACCAAAAAACTGACCGAAGCAATTCATATGCTTTAAACAAACGTATAGTATGTACATATTATTAATTTAATTTAATAAAAATATATTTTATTTAAGAGTGCACGTCCACAGTGTGCAATACTAAACACAGAATATGTATAACTAAAGATTTTACATTAAACTACTTTTCGTAGGCCTGTAATATTCTAGGAAGTTCGTATCACTTTATAGAATAATCTTGAATTTATACTTTTATATGTAATAAATTATAGTTTATATCTTTATGTTAAAAGAAAAAGAATTTAGTAAATCTTACAATTTTGTAAATAAATGCATCTATTTAATTCTATATTTTAATCTGTGCATACCGTTCAAGAAGCCGCCTCAGTTAACTGGTTAAAGTCATGATGATATTGCATTTTTCAACATTACACCTTTTTTGACATATCTGTTTTCATTTTACTAAGTTTTCAACCGTCACTAGAGATAAAATATGGTACTTTAGGATTGATTCAACACAAAATTTGAATCTTATCTTGTTAGGTTTTGCTATTCTGTGTCGCCGGTATGAAGTCATCTTAATAGTGTTCGATTTAGTTATTAAGTAGAAACAAAAATTTTATTCATATTGTAAACACGTACAGTTTTTAATATCTGTAAACAGTGCCGGATATTGTTTTTAAGTTTTTATTTCTGTTATTTTGACCGCAACTGATTGGAAAAAAGGGTGCTGCAGTATCATCGCGCTTTTAAAACATTGCGATGAATATAGATATTCATGTAAATACAAAATTTCACGTGAATATACAGTAATTAGGAATACTTGCTGTCAATTGTTATATGAAAGTTTCAATTTGAAACTGATGTTGTATTTAGTTTGCATGAAATGAATTATTTCCTTAATTTGTTTTGTTGTTATATGCTGCAGAACTCTTCTATAAATTCATATTTAGATATTTCAGTTTTCATATTCTGTAGCAGTTATTAGGCTTTCTGATAAAATTTGCTATTCCAATATTTTATAGCCATGTACTTGTATTCTGCAAATTTTAATTATCTATTTAACTTTAAACTAATATATTTTAGAGGCACATACTCTTGGATGGCGCTTTTAATTGAATTTAAAACTTGACTCTCACCTGCCAAAAATAACATATAAAGCATATTCATCTTTGTTTAATTCAGTATTCAAGTTGAAGATTTTTTTATATTTATTGGATTTCTCTACAAAATAAAAATAATAATCGGAGTATTAGATAATATTAGATAGCCGAATAACATTGAGGTTTTGGCGTATTGGCCAGACTACTTCCTACTACTTACAAGTAGTATATTTTAGTAAAATTTCGTGTTTGTTACATGAAAAGCGCGGTCCATAACTAAATTCCTGCGGATTTAAATATTTTTTAGCATTTTCCGTATGTTAAGTATTTTTCATTCTCAATTAATAACTTTTTAATATTATCCGGCACTAGTATGTTAGTCGTCACCGGTAAATATTGATTTAGATAGATTTACATTACGTTACCACGAACACTAACGAAAATTGATAGTATTGTGTAAATGGTCGTTAGTTTAACATTCTTTCCACAAAATCAATTCTAGTCTATTGTGCAGATCTTTTGAATCACTATTGGTAGTTCCCTGTATATTAATATTGTCCAGACACGCACGGTCCAAGGATTCAGTTTGCCATAAATACTTATTATTATCGATTTTTATTTTAACGAAGAATGAAATAACATTCAAATAGTTTATTCTATATTTTTGAAGTTTCAAAATTTAGTACATAATTTTATACTAGTATTGTGGCATCTAAATTCTAAATGTAGATTTATGGTATGTCTTTTGAGGGTTGCTCGTTATATATGATATGAAAAGATCTAATTGTTTTTTTTGGATCTTGTTAAAAATTGGTATTTTATAAAATAGCTTTTGTATTATTGTTGTTACCAATGCACATTTGATAATCTAATTCAATCCCTAAGATTCTAAATGTGAGTGAATGCTTGTAATTAAGTATTGCGCATGTTTGTTAAATATGACTAATTTTATTTATTCATAGCATTAGATAATATTTAATACTGTAATTTGTCAATTATAATTAAAACATAATGTACGTTTTATTGTACAATGCAACAGGCGACTTTATACACTTACATCACTTTTTTAACCAAAGTAAAGACAAGGATTTATACTTTCATTTGATAATAGCATTTAAATAAATATAATTAATATACCTATATAAATTAATTTTGTATTGTTTGGCTAATCAAGTAGTTTATGACGTCATTATAATTTTATCAAAGAATACTATTTTTTTTATAACTGACTTTTATAAAAAAAAAAAAAATCTAATTTTTATGTCGAAAATTATTTTTAAATAAAGTCTTTCCTTATTTTTGCTTATAAGTATTAGTGAAGTTTTAAATTTCTAAGACTTATAGATTAAAAATGGCAACTAATTAGAAAATTATTAACTCTCTCTTATGATTCAGGCGAAGAAAACGTTCTTTCTTATGAAGCTGTGCAACAATTGACTATAAATTACACCAGACCAGTCATAATATTAGGACCGCTCAAGGATCGCGTCAATGATGATTTGATTTCCGAATTTCCCGAAAAATTCGGCAGCTGCGTACCTCGTAAGTAATTGTTAAATATTATATAGAAAACATTAGAAAACTACAATGATAGAAATAATAGATAGTAGATATTTTGAAAATTAAATTAAACATTTACTTACTTTATTTTGTCATTATTAATTCAATTATGTTGAAACATAACATAACACGTATTGTTACTTTAAAGTAAACATTTAAATACACAAAACTTTAGTACAGTCTATAGCAATGCGCCAAGGGTCCACGATACAAACAAGTTTGGAAAACTATTCTTCAAATATTAGGTTATATCAGAATTTTATTCTATTCTTTTTAGATACTACAAGACCGAAGAGAGGCTATGAAGTGGATGGTCGAGATTATCACTTCGTGGCATCCCGCGAACAAATGGAACGTGATATTCAAAATCATTTGTTTATTGAAGCAGGACAGTACAATGATAATTTATATGGAACTTCTGTAGCTTCTGTTCGTCAAGTTGCAGAAAAGGTGAGCTACTTAAAATTATAACAATAGTAATAAATAATTTATCTATTCCATCTTTTAATATTCTTGTACTAATTTATGCTCACATCGTCCTAAATAATACCACATTTTTTATTACCGACAAGTGAAAATGTAGGGAAGTACCGACATTCAAATAGATTAAGGTTGTTTGTAACCAGACTAAATCTTGTGTATTTTCGAGTATACTCGAAATGCGTATTAAAATCATATCTTTCAACATATTAAGAATATTTTTAGACTACTTATGCCAGAATAAAATGAATATTTATAAGTCGCATATAAGCGTAGCGCACAGTTGAATGAGTGCCACAGTGGAGTGGTTAAGTAGTACCCCGCCTAAATTTCCTTTTTTATTTATAAATTATGTACATGAGTTAACAGTGCTTTGTGAAACCGAAATAATTTAAACGTGATCTATAATGTCAACGTATATTTTTGAATTTTTCTGAAATGTTCCTTATGAATAAAATATTCAGAACGAGTTATAAATATTCATTTTAAATGTTATTTCTTTAGCTTGTTCGTAGTTGTAATTTGCAGGATTTTGCGCTCAAGTGTAAAATCCCTTGCTCGTAGCTGTTTAATAGAGAGCGTTTTATAGATTTTTCTGATAAATAGATGAATACAGTATTCCAAAGCTTTTACTCAAAATAGGAAATACCAAGGAGATGTAACCATTTGTAGTTGAATCTTCGTGAATATTTCCATCTTCATTTTTAGCATTTATTTCCCGAACTTGACAATTTTAGTCTAATAGAGAAAGTTCATGTGCCAAAAATATTTTTTTTGTTCATACTTTATTTAGCAGTTAGAAATATACTACACATAGTGTCTAAAATTTGATATATAGATAACTTTTGAGTCGTAGGTAAACTTATTAAGATAACTTTTCTTATTAATTACAGTTTTGGTATCACTAACAATTTTCTTATGATCACTAACATTTTTTATGAATTATTTTCAGGGTAAACATTGCATTTTAGATGTGAGCGCTAATGCTATAAAACGACTTCAAGTCGCACAACTTTATCCCATTGCAATATTCATCAAACCAAAATCAATTGAATCTATTATGTAAGTAATAATAAATAGCTATTATTTATCTTATTTCATTGACTTACTCAGGGTTAGTTAATAATTAACAAAAAAATTAATATTACTTTTCGATGTTAGTGATTCTTCTTTACAACTGTATATAAAATAATATTTTAGCATTAACTTTTTTTATGCATTGATTGAATATGGTATAAGTCAGCATATAAATAAAAATATAATATGTAATTATTATTATTTTGATTAAAAAAAAATATGATTAAAAATATACCTACTTCTTTATAAATGTAGGGGCCGATTCTGCCGTAAAATAGACTAATGTTATAGCAAGGCTATGTTACACTGCGTTTTCCATATAAAATAGTACAAAAATGTACCATTTATATGGAATATTTATATGGTACTCTGCAAATGCTATGTATTTTCTGTGAGATCACGCGTTTTACACATGAAATGCAGTTATGATAACATTCCTTTTTTGGCGTTTTTGCGTTTCATAGGTTAGGAATTCTATCTAAAACGCCTGACTGCACAACAATCTCATTGCATTTTGACTGTTTTAAGTACAATTTTATATGAGAAAACGCAGCGTGACAGCATTGCCATAACATCGGTCCATTTTATGGCAGAATCGGCCCCGTATAATTATAATGTGAAATTTAACAATATATAAATTAATAATGAAATGTAAATTTTTGAAATAATTTCTCAAAAGTTTAGTCCTTGTTGTCTGATGGATGAATGATTGCTTTATATCGATCTTTTATTTCTATTTACTTATTTACTTATTGAACATTTTTGTTTAGGGAAATGAATAAACGAATGACTGAAGAGCAGTCTAAGAAAACTTACGAACGTGCTCTAAAGATGGAACAAGAATTTGGAGAGTACTTTACAGGTGAATTTATTTATTTGTTATGTTTTCGCAAAGAATCATATGAAATGATGTTTATTGGTGTTGTGCAGATAGTTAATAAAAATACATTATTAACTTTTCTAAGAAAAAATATGTTTTTGCAAAAAAATCTATGCTTATGTTATGTTTTCAAGTCGAGTGTTTGCATGTGAACCGATTTTTCTATTTTTTGTCGTCGTTTTCTCAAAAGTGGCTGACCAGAGTTTCAACAAAATTTCAAGAATCTATTCGAAGTAACTCCATAAGAACTCGCTGTATTTAGTTTTGCAAGAGGGTCGGCTAAGCCTTTTTTGGTGCAGAAATTTTAATTAGCAGACAAGTGAACAATTAATTTCAAATAATTTATTGTTTTTAGAATTTTCTGTGAACGAAATTTTGTCCACGGTTTTTCATAAAATCGCTCAATCGATTTTAATCATTCAAAATTTTTTTGAAAGATATATTTTGGGAATTGTACTGATTAGTTTTTAGTAAAGATCGGCTTCGCTGTTTCTTCATAATTGATTGTTAAAAAAAATTTCGACAATTTTTATGAAACTTTTTTTGACGATAGAGATCATATATTTATTACCGCCCTACGACAAATCGTTTATTTTTGGAAATTGATCAAAGTTTGAAGAATAAAGGAGTATCTTTTCATGACTTGAGTTCAAAATTGACCTTATGTCAACGTTTTCTCGAAAATGACTGAACCGATTTTATATAACATTTGTTAGTTATTTGACAAGAACCAAAAGAAATGTACCGAATTTTCTATTTATTACTAAAGAAAGAAAGATCGAATTCAAAGTCGTTTTATTCTGTTGGCATAGAATTGTAGTAAATTTTATCTAGTTTCTCGCTATCTAACGGAGACAGGGTGCTTTCATATAACATTTGTGAGCTATTTGAGAAAAACAAAAAAATGTCCCGAATCTTCTATTTATTGCTAAAGAATGAAAGATCGAATTCAAAGTCGTTTTATTCCAAACTTTTATATCGGAGTGTATATAATTGTTGGAATGGAATTGTAGTAAATTGTATGTAGTTTCTCCCTATCTAACTGAAAACGGTGCTTTTAAGATTTGTGAGTTATTGACAAAAACCAAAAAAAGTCCCGAATTTTCTATTTATTGCTAAAGGATGAAAGATCGATTTCAAAGACACCGATAATGGCGAAGACGGCGAAGGCAACGGAGGCGGCTTATGTCAAATATTTCTTTATTAGTTCAAAGTGACGGCATTTACAAAAGATTCTGGGTTCGATACATATTGGAATCCGCGAATAACGAAATTTTAGACGCGAATATAGAAATAATG